TACTTTTATTAATACATAGAGGACTGTGATTTTTCTGTGCTTTTGGAATGGGAAGAATTATTTGGGGATCTTCTCACAAATGGATTAAGGATTTAGCAAAAAAGGAATTTTTACACACCATCCACTGTCATCTCTTTGAAATTAGTAACTAGTCTAAGTGTAAAGTGAAAGCATAGGAAATTAATAAATTTCAAAACTAATGTTTATGTTATGGAAAGTTTAGAGAAAAATACACATATTCTAGACATAGAAAAATAGATATATGCTAATAAATATATCAAACCAACATGTTATATACCTCAAACTTATACAGTGTTATATGTCAATTATACCTGAATTTTAAAAATCACTGTTTAAAAAAAGTAGATATATTCTTTAAGCTTAGTAGCCTGAATTTCCTTTTGGTACATTCAGAAATGACAAATCATTAACTACTTGTGAATGCAAATCAGAGTAGCTAATACGCAGGAGCTTACATTCCTTCTGGGGATAGAGATGTGGTCATATGTGGAGGTAACTGCACATGGTCATAAATCTCATGGTGGTAAAGGGAACATTACAAGATCCCCAAACTCCCTTTAAGCTGAAGTGATGAGGGTAGATTTTAGGGAGTGGGAAAGATTTCTGTTGGTCACTGCAGTCAAGAGGGAGAATTGAGCTGTAGGGAGAGGAAGGAAGGGGCCGTTCCATCCGGGTGAGCAAGATGAAGGGAGACCGTTTGATCTCTTGTTGAGATTTGATTGGCTCTAGCAGGAGGTTGCTCTGGGAGAGGAGCAGGCATCAGAGCTAAATAGGAAGGACAGGCCAGACATAGGGAAGGTGATCAAAGAAAAAAGTCCTCCTGGCAGCACCAAAAGTTTCATTATTTTCATTATTTTTGTATCGTGGTTTCACATGTATTCTATACCCTTTCTGTAGCAGGTAGAATAATGTGTCTTCCCAGCCCCTTCCCCAAGATGTCAGCTTCCTCATACTGGAACCTGTGACCATGTCTCCCCATGTGGTGACCTGTGAAAGAAGAAGGCATCCCCCAAAGACATCCAAGTCCTAACCCCTGGAACCCATGAATGTTAGTTACCTTAAATGGCAAAGGCATTTTGCAGCTGTGATTAAATTAAGGATAATGAGATGCAGAAATTATCCTGGATTATCCCGATGAACCCTAAATGTCATTACAAGATTCCTTATTTAGAAGGAAGAGGAGGGAGATTTCAGGCAGAAAAGAAGGAGGCCATGTGATAGAAGCAGAGGCAGAGAGAGGAGATACTAAGGTGCTCTTGCAGGGGACATGAGCCAAGGAATGCAAGAAAGGCATTTCTAGATGCTGGAAAAAGCAGGGAAATGGGTTTACTCTAGAGCCTCTGGAGTCCTTACCAGTACCTTAGTCTGAGCCCAATGAGACTCACTTCAGACTTCTGGCCTCCAGAACTGTAAGAAAGTAAATTTCTCTTCTGTTTGCCCCCAAGTCTGTTAGAATTTAGCCACAGAAAATTAATACATGTAAGGCATTAGCTACTTCATAAAGTCATCGGGTAAACACAGACTGGGCTCTAGTGGGCTTCTAGGAATGTTCTACCTCAGGCTGTCATCAGGACACAAGATGTCACCACTTCTGCAGGAGGGAACGTAGTCAGATGTGTGATTCTAGTTGGTTGGTGCAAGTCAGCATGGAGAAGTTACATAAATGAAAGTGCTAAGATTGGCATAGTTGCTAACTAGCCAAGAGGAAATTGAGGAACTGACTCTTCTTAGTGAAACTGTTAGGACTTGGTAAAATCATTGGAATAAGCTCTGAGAAAGGAAGTTAGGAAACAGAACATTTGCAAAATTCACGTGAGGATGCTGAGATGGCATCCAAAGGGCAAAAGGCAAAACTCTTACGTCAACTGCTGATGAGGTTTGACTGAAAGGAGACCATGCTGCAGCTAGACAAATAGCTCTTTTTCTTGTCTTTTTGAAGTAAAAGTAGTATGAGATGATTTTTTTATAAGTATAGGAAAGTATAAAATGATAAGTAAGAACCTCTCTCATACTTCAACCCACCTCTGGATCTTCTGTCTAAAGCTTCCTGCTATTAACTGTTTCTTGTGTTTCCTTTTAGAAAGCATTTTTCTGACATAAAGATCACATATCAATATACACAAATGGGATCATGGGATATACACAGTGCTTACCCTATCCAAGGAGATCTTTTAATACCAACCCATTTAGATCTAACCTATTCTTGCTATGGCTCCAAAAGTATCTCACTGTACAGATTTCTCATGACAGATGTGTTCAGTCTGTGGCTGCAGGATATTTATGTTGGTACCCACCTGCCTCCCAGCTTTTACCCATCTGCCCGTTTACCTCTCTGAGCTCATCTTCTCTTCTCCCTCTTGCTTACTCTATTCCAGCCACACCAGCCTTCTGCTTAATCTTCAGACACATCAGTTGTAGCCCTGCTTTTGCACAAGCATTCCTCTGCCTGCAATGCTTTTCCTTTAGATTTCGACTTGCTCCCTCCTTCACACCTTAGCTCATGTTTCAACTTCTCAGTGAGACCATCTTTGACCACACTATATAATATTGTAATCCTTTCCTGCTCCACTTCCTTTTTAAAATTTTCTCTGGTGAACGTTTCACTGAAGAACATTTCACTCTCTAAAATATTATATGCTAATTTATTTTATTTGTCTCCTTTTTCACTAAAGTATGTTTCATAAGGAGAGTAATTTTATGTGTCATTTAAATGTTATTAATACCTTATGAGTTAAGAATTGCTGGACATCTGATGTCTAGACAAGAATATAATCTTAAATAAAATGTTCTTCTCCATCAGTATTATTTAATTATTGTCTAAGCACATCCTTGCTCCAGATCTCTCTCTTTTGATTTTCAAATGTCTCCTAGCACTGTGGACTTTTGCTTTGAGTAAATGTTACTTTAATATATATTCCTTTAAAAAGCGTGATCTTTCCACATTGTAGACAAGTAAGTAAAATTTTTGGTTTCTCTGTACCCAAAATGGAAAGAGATAGTAATTTAAATGATGTAGCTGATAACAGCTTTCAGTAGACACTGTCATTCCACTGTTCAGTAAACAATAGTTTTGAGCATTATGGCCACTATAAATTTATCAGTTTCACTTCATTTTTTTAGAGTTGCAAAATTTGCCACAAATTTCATCAGATTTTTTGAAATGACATATAGCAAAGTACATCAAGAAAATTTCCAAATCTTTTGACAGTAAGTGCTGTCAGAGATTTTAGATCCCCCTCCTTCGTGGAAATATTTATATTATTAACATAGAAAAACTTAGATTAAATTATTTTTCTTGGTAACCTTGTATGTTCTATAAATCCATAGCAAATATTTGTTAATAAGGTTAATATGTTAACTTTTTTTTTTCCAAATTGCTGTTAATCTCAAGTACACGTTGGAAAACAAACATACAAACAGCTTGATACTTTATAATATAAAGTATGTGGGTGAGTTAGATCTGTCTACCTTACAGGCACAGGTATGGAGGGCTTATTTCATGGCATTAAATGGAATCATAGAATGTGGATAGAAACATAATATAATTGCGGAGGTGTAGTGATCCCTGAAGAATGGCCTCTATCAAGTCATTCATCATCCATGATCAAGATGTCAAGAAATGTAATGTGTTGTGATACTGTCCCTTATTACTCATGATTAAGTCAAATTAAAGTGGCACAAAGACCAGGAAACCAGCTTAGATGTTCACCAGAAGCATTCATATTCAGTCTCTGTGAGATTCAACTTATTTCTTTGAGCTAGTGAACAATTCATTACCTGGTATGTATGATTTTTAAATAAAACAACCCTTTTAAAGATAATAATTGCAAATATGTGAATTGTATTTTTAATTAGAAAAGTAATGAGCTTGTACTGGTAAGCTATTTATTATTATATGGTCAGTACTTTCACACTTAACAGTTATTTTACTATTTGTAAATTGTTCTGGCTGAAGACTTTTTTTTCCTTTTTTGATATCTGCATAACTTTTGATTGTTGTGAGTCATTGAATGGGAACCTAATTATAAAACAAATTCAGCTATTCACTATATATGGCCACTAATAACATTACTATTAGCCTGTTAAAGCCTCTAGTCAGTTTTTCTCAATACTGAATTCTACTGAACACTGTAAACTCACAGTTTTGCATGACTTTGTATACAGTTAAAACCTCGGTGAAATTATATGTATTTGTTTATTCAACAATTATAATTATAATTTAATCTATATAAACGTATATATACTAAAGACTGAAGGTGTAACATGAATGAGATATCTCTCACCTCCCTAGTTGCCCCCTAAAATGTCCATATCCTAATCCCTGGAACATGTGAATGTTACCACATACAGCATAGCACAGACTTGTAGATGTGGTCAAGATAAGGATCTTGGGGTTATCCTACGATTATCCTAGCATATTGAAGTGGACCCAAATGCAAGTACATATGTTCTTTTAAGATGGAAGTACAAGGAGATTTGACACAGAAAGAGGAAGAGAAGGCAGGGTAACAACGGAAACAGAGATTGGAGTGCTGTGACTTCAAGCCAGGGTATACTGCAACCCCTATAAGCTGGAAGAAGCAAGGAACAGATTCTTCATTAGTGGATGTAGAGGAGCCTAGCCCTACTGACCTTGATTTTGGCCCAGTGATACTGATTTTGGACTTCTGGACTCCAGAACTGTGAGAGACATGTGTTGTGATAATCACCAAGTTTGTGATAATTTGTTGGAGCAGTCACCAGAAATGAATATACTGAGCGAAAGAGACAAACACAAAAACTAATGATTATGGTGCAGTGAGAGCCCTGTCAGAGGGATGTGGGAGAGGAAGTGGGATGGCAGGCATGGAGCACCAACTCTGGCAGATCAAGTTCTATAAAGCTACTTAGAAGATCCAAACTGAGACCTGAAGTAAAAATAAGATTTTTCCAAGCAAGGAAGAGAGTGCCAAAATGCAGAAACAAAAAAGTGTGGTGAGGTGCTCGCTTAGGCAGCACATATACCAAAATTGGAACGATACAGAGAAGATTAGCATGGCCCCTGCACTAGGATGACACGCAAATTCATGAAGCATTCCATATTTTTAAAATGACTATAACTCAATTAAAAAAAAGTTTAAAAAATACTAATAAAATAAATAAAAACAGCAAAAAAAAATGTGGTGAGTTTTAGAATACAAAACTGTATTTTGCAATGCCTATTTCATTTCAGGAAATATTAAGCCCTAAAATAATTTTCATTGATTTTTAATATTTTGATTAGTCATATATATCAAAGAAGAGTGTAAGTCTTTATGAAGCATTCTTGGAAAGAGTACTATCCTTTACAAATAAGATAAAAGAATAATTATTATTTCCTGTAATTGCTAGTCACTGGGGGTTTTAGAGAAGTTATTACATGGAAATTTTGATTAAAGTCATCTCAACAGTGTTGTAGTTTAATCAGGTAGAAAGAGAGATCATTTATTCCAGTTATACAAATAATCACTAGCCCTTTAAATGGTAATGAAAATAAGGCAACAATTTTAATTACAGATTTCTCTTCTCTTCTTTTATTTTATTTGGATTACCAAGAATTTTGCCTAGAAGTGTTTGGCCAAGTAAAAAGTAGAGAAAGGTCATTTCTCCATATTCTCTTGTCAAAATTAAATAATAGAAGTAGTGAGGATGCCGGAACAAAATATCTGATACTGTGCTGGGGACCCCTAGAAATGTTTCAGACTGGACAGAACCTGGATGAGTTTTAAAATCTATTTTCAAAGTTGATTTAAGTACTTGAGAGAGAGAAGGGTAATGAAAAGATGTTACAAATCAAATGGAGATTTACTAGGACAGGCACCAGGTATCAGTGGTTGGGCTGTGAGAACAAGAAGGGAAAGACAAATAAATTATAATACAAGGGACAATTAGATTATCCAGGGATGTCAAGAAAAGTAAAAGTAAAAAGGCAGCTGTTGATTTTAGTTCTCTTCCCAGAGCCAAGAAACTGGATTAGCTGATCAGTAGATAGTGAGAATTTCGTTCCCACATCCTTCACAGCATTAGGCACTATCAAACTTTTCAGTTATGTAGGGAAAGAGGCCAAATTCAGGAACTTCCCATAACACTAGGGAATAAGGAGTTTTTAAGAATGTTTAGTCATGTTCAGTGGGCTTCCCGTGGAAACCCGACGCCAGCTCTCCTCCTCAGCATCTTCAGCTCACCTGAGACCTGGAGCTCACAGCTCCTTCCCACACCTTCTGGGAGTCTGGCCCAAATCCTTGGTCAGTTGAACTATGTCTACCTCTCAGTTAAAAACAGGTCTGTACAATCAGCCAGTCAGGGACATCTCACTTCACCTTTTATTTTGGAAGAGGGTTTTCTGGGATAATTGTCTTCAGTACGTTCCTCTTAATGCAAATTGAAGTAGAACTGAGAAGGAAATTAGAATTCATTTACACAGATGGTAATATTCTGTTTTGTCTTGTTTTAATCAATGGTCCAAGAGAGGTTTCCTAATCATAAAACTTTAAAAATACTTCATTCATAGACGCAGTAATTATGCTTAAATGATGGATGGTGCATAGTCTGGGAAATCCCCTCTCTCTCTGCTTATTTCTATGAGCGTAGTTTCATTTTTTCCCTGTGTATATCACCTTTTTCTGGTATATACCTATAAAAATAAGAGAATAATATAACAGTATGATAACCTATAGGAGCAGTACATGTGTTAATATTCACTTATAGATCTATTTTAAATAGTTTACAATTTCTATTTCTCATTTTACTGCAAAACAAAAGATTTCTATGATTATCCTAAAAATATACTTAGCCCTTAGTTTTGTAATGAGGTATTCAAGCATTTCTTGTACATTGGTAATATCATCCATTTACAGAAACATACCTTTCCATTAATTTTCAAGGATTTTTTTGTAAGTTGTATCCATTGGCAATTCTATTAACAAAAAATATAGTCTTATGTTCTATCTCTCTGATTTTTAACTATACCAGTGTAAGCCTGAAAACCAGTTATTCCCAAATTTTTTTGTCTTCTAATCTCTAGACAGCAAATTATTTGTTTGTCACCTTTTGACAATAATAGGGAAACTAGGCTGAAAAGCAACTACCAGTTTAATCAGCCCAATATACCATTGTGAATTTTACAAAAGTCACAGTTGTGCTTGGGATACTGTGTTAATTTATTTAGAATTTTAACAGGTCTTATCCTTGCCCCAGCCTAACAGATATAAGGGAAACTGCAGAATGTCTGCATTAGTACTCTTTTTTTTTAAGTATGTAAAGTGGGATTGGCTTTTGCTATTCCTGCAGCCTTTTGTGCAGCTGATAGAAGGAAAATACAGCTTTTATTATTCTAGAAATAATACAGTGTGCTCTAGTAATTAGCCATAAGATTTTATAAGATTGGGACCTATTTGACATTAGATAATCACTTTGGAAAAGTAAAGGTTTTGAATGACTCAAGATAATATACCTATTGTCACTCTTTAAATTCAGAAACATGGATAAATTGGGAGTTTGGGATTTGCAGATACTAACTATTGTATATAAAATAGATAAACAACTAGGTCCTATTGTATAGCACAGGGAACTATATTCAATATCTTTTAATAGCCTATAATGAAAGGAATATGAAAAGAAATATATATATATAACTGAATTATTGTGCTGTACACCAGAAACCAACATTGTAAACTGACTATGATTCAATAAAAATAAATTATAAAAAAAACTTTTTTTAACCCCAATCTGTAAAAGCAGGCTAAAAATCATTTAAAAATAGTTATTGGGAACTGAGAAGACTGATTTGGGTCCCAGGTAGGCATTTACAATGGGATCTCTCCCCACTTTTTGCTACTTTCACAAATAAAATGGGAACGTTTTAAGTGATTTTTTAAAATGAAGTTGCTTCCTAGAACAATGTAGAACAGAACAGTCTTTCTTGGCATGTAGACATTTTCTATTCTACTCCCTACTATGACCTAATTCCAAAGTCAACATTCCCTTTTTGCAGTGAGGCTGGAAGAGTTTCTGCCTCGTAATCGAAGCTATCACATAGTTGAGCTTATTGTGCTTTTAGAAATTGTGAATTTACCTGCTTTCAGCCAGATTCTCTTATTACTATTAAGTAGTCTTCCTCCAAATTCCATTTTATTTATTCATAATAGAATCTGTCTCTAATTTTTAAGTATAATTGAAATAAATTAAGTAATCCTTCTACCCAAGCTTGAGTCATTTCACATTTAATATTCTTTACAGGAAAATCCATTTTGGATCTATATATTCTACTAACATCATATTTTCCACTTTTCCTTTTTCAACTGCAATGTGGTTTATTTCCTGAAGTTTTGCTTTGACAAGTGTAATTTTGTCATTATAAAACATGAGTTTTTAGTACTGTACAGTTACATTTCTTTTGGTCTTACAGCAAGTAATTCTTGCCAGAAAGCATCTTGTAATCTATTTCTTAAAGAGTATAGAAAGAAATAGAAAATCTTGAGAAGCATATTAAACATCCCTTGACAGTTTGAAACTAACAGGCTCCCTTCTTAATTACTTTCCTTCATTCCCAGAAGATTGCTAAGGAATTCTTATTGCTGTTCCATGGATATATATTTCACAATTAACAGTATACTATATTTTTAATCAGTAGATTTTTAAAATAATTAATGACATAATTCGGTATGTTAATCAGAGATGAAAAGCTCATCATGAATATAGCTTGAAAATACTCTTTCAAGGGAAAGATTGCTACCTGTTTTTTACTTGTATGTTTTGCTTATGGAGGTATAATTACCATAAAGTAAAATTCATGATTCTTATTTGTATAGTGCTATGAATTTTGACAAACATACAATCAGGCTAGGAAATATTTCCATCCTCCCCAGAAGTTTTTTCATGACTATTGGTAGTCAGACCTATCTTCCCACACCCAGCGCTGGCAACACTGATCTGTCCCAATAGTTTTGCTTTTTCCAGAATATCATATAAAATCATGCAGTATGTAGCCATTTTGAGTCTGATTTGATTTATGTAGCATAATGCCCTTGAGATTCTTCCATGTAGAACTGTGTTAGTATTTCATTGCTTTTAATGAGTAATACTCTATGTGAGGATGTAGCATATTTATTTATACACCTTATAATTCTTTCACTATTAATTTTATTATTATTATTAATGTTTAGCTATTACTTTACAATACTTACCAGGTACTATGGCAAACTTTTTATATCATTTGAATGATTTAATGCTCCAAATTACAATACAGTATTTTTTTAACAACAGAAGCAGACTTTAGGTTTGAATCTCATCTCTTTCACTTATTAGTTTTATGGCTTTAGGCAAGTTAACACCTTTTAATTCTATACAACTATGCAAAGGAGATGATAATAATACTACCTTATAGTGCTGTTGTAAAGATTAAAAGAGTTAATATCTATAGGTACTTATAAGAGTGTCCAGTTCTTAGTATTCAGTAAATATCAGTTATATTTTGTTATATACTTTTGAACAGCCATATAAAATAGGGATTAATATCCCCAATTTGAAGAGGAATCAAGCTCAGAAAAGTTTAGACTTCCTCAAGATCATGTGATAACTAAAGTAATGGATACAAGATTTTGATCCAGTTTATTTGATTCCAAATTGGGTACCTCTTCCATAACAAGACACTGATATATTATTAAATTAAAACCACTGATTCATCCTCTGACATTATGGCAAATGTGACATCCTGAAAGATCCTTCCACCAAAATATAAAATGTTTGAATTACAAACATACATATTTTACTAGTGTACACAAAAATGAGCTTAAAGTTATGAGAATCGTTAAGACCAAAACAACAGCAAGCTGAAGCCAAAGCAGGCTCCTTGCCATAAGCAGTAAACAAACTGAAAACTAGGGCTGCCCTGAGATAAAAATGCTGATTAAGTACAGCCACTGGAAGACTACAGTAAGCCCTGAGCCCCCTTGGTATTGCCCCCTGCTCTCAGTAGATATAAACACAAATCCTCTCTGAAGGAAAGGCCTTAGATTTTTCAAGGAACAAGTTATTTTAATTTCATCAAACTTTTCTGGCAGAGTAAAT